TGGAGGAAGACACAGAAAGGATGTTGACTCTGTACAACTACGGGATGGTGGAGTAGAAGGGTTATAAAAGAAAGGACGATCCTCAACGAAAGTGACATCACGAGATATACGAATGCGGCGAGAGGAGGCGTCATAACAACGATAACCCTTATGCTCAGGACTGTACCCCAGAAAAACACACTCAATCGATCGAAAGCAAATAACTTAGTTCGCTCACGAGGTGCTAGTAGGACATAGCAAGTGCAGCCAAAAACCCGAAGGTGGTCATAGTCAGGAGGAGTACCAAAAAGAACCTCACCAGGACACTGACCAGACAATTTTGATGATGGTTGTCTGTTGATGAGATAAATAGAAGTGGACACAGCTTCTCCCCAAAAATGAGAAGGAACAAAAGATGCAATAAGAAGTGTGCGGGCAGTCTCTATGATATGGCGGTGTTTCCATTCAGCAACCCCATTTTGAGCATGCGCGCGCCAGACAAGAAAAGTCGAGCAAGAGTGCCTTGAAGTCAAAATTGGCGAAAGGTGTGAGATAAATACTCTCCACCGTAATCTGAACGAAAAACTTCGAATGGGGTGGAAAATTGTGTGTGCACCATGCGAGCAAAATTTTGATAAGTAGAGCACAACCGAGAGCGATGTTTCATAAAGTAAATCCAAGTATATCGAGAATGATCATCAACAAAATAACATAGTATTTATGACCACCTTTGGAAGCGAAAGGTGCAGGACCCCATACATCGTAATGAATAATATCAAAAGGTCTAGTGAATGAGAAGTACTAGTAGAATATGGGAGCTGCAATTGCTTTCCAAGCTTGCAACCCTTACACCGAAAAACTAGACTCAATGGATGTAGGACCTAAACAACCCTTGTTTATTAAGGTGGATAAACGAGACCCGCATAAATGACCAAGGCGATGATGCCACTTGGCGAAAGATGAAGTCGATGGCGATGTACTTGATGAAGATGCAAAGAACAAGCAAGGGTGACACATGGGCGGAGAGTGAGGAAGACGTAAAGTGTCGAGAACATAGAGGCTATGAGAACCTCTACTGGCGATGGCTGGTCCCAAGTACAAATTTCTGCGGACGATCCTGAATAAAACAAGATGAGTCATCGAATCCAACAAAACAATTGTGATCCGTTAATTGACCAACTAAAAGAAGATTCATGGACAACCGAGGTACAAACGAGACATTAGGTACAGAAAAATTAGAGGTGCAAAGAGAACCACGATGAGTAATGTGGCGGGATGTACCGTCTGCCTGCTGTCTGAATAGAGGCATCATCTGCAATTGGCTTGCAGGCAACAAGCTGTGACTGATCTGATGACACATGAAAAGAGGCTCCTGAATCAAGCACCCAAGAAGAAGGAGCAGTAACAGGTGATGCAGCAGCAATAGACACAGATCCTGTAGGGTGGAACCCTGCAGGCACAGAGCCTGTAGGGGGGAACCGGCGCCACGACCACTCACTGCTTGGGATGGCGTGAGCGATAAGCAATTAACTTCTCGGGATACCGAACAAAGCAATTTTCTCGAACGGTGAGTAGTCTTCTTGCAATGAACACAAGGCGAAAAAGAGTTGCCCTTCAACATGTATTGGTCTTGTGAGAGGCTGCCGTAACACCGTGAGGTACTTGATCTGAGAGAGGCGAGAATTAAGTCGTGTCTCCTCAAAGAATCAAGGCGGACAACACATCAGAAATAGACGGAGTGGTGGAAGCATTTAACAACTGTTTACGATCGACTCAAAATCAGGCCGCAAACCATGGCAAAACTGATATATAAGGAATTTTTCAATGAACTTATTCTTCTTATCACAGCAGCTGAGCACCCTGTCTCACACTTAGGAACCATGGAAAGAAAAGGTCCCATCAGACGATCAAAAAAAGCAGTATAATACTCCTCGATAGACATCTCATTCTGCTGAAGATCATGAAGTCCTTGCATTAGAGTAAGCAAAAGTGCACCACTGTTCTGAACATATCTCCCCTGCAAGTAGTCCCACATCTCCTTAGCAGATTGATGGTGCTCAAGGCTCATCATTAGTGAGGGTTTCATGCTGGTGACTATGGCACTCATGATTCGGCCATCATCCTTAGTCCAAGTCGTGACGGCAGCAGCACCAGAACCATCCTCCGACTTGTCAGTTGGAGGATCATCTGTCAGATGAGATGCAAGGCCATGTCCACGCAGTACAGTTTTGACAGAGAAAGCCCACTCTCGATAATTAGATGGACCATCAAGTTTCAGAGGAAAAACAATGGCATTTGACAGTAATTGCGACTGCGACATTGTGCAAGATAAGCAGTAGCAGATGATAAGCACCACTGAATAGAAAAACAGAGCAGACCACCGCCAACAGAGCAGACCAGCAACAGCAGCAGCAGAGGAAAAACAGAGTAGAGCAGAGAAACCTCTGATGGACGAGCAGAACCTCTGATGGACGAGCAGGGCACGAAGTCCAGACGGAGCCACTCGTGCGGCACGACAAGGACGGCCTGGCGTCCTCTGCTCGCACGGAAGACCGAGCGGACAAGACACGACGAAGACGATCTGGCGACGAATCGCGCGGATCAACGCGCGGAAGACCGACTCGCGCGGATCGACGAGTCGCGCGAATTGACGCGCGGAGGAGGACCGCACGGACGGCGCGGAGAATCGGCGACGGACGGGACGACGGGCCGCGCGAACGTCGAGAAGGATCCGACGGGCCGCGCGAACGGCGCGGAGGATCGACGACGGGCCGCGCGAACGCGACAAGGATCCGACGGGCCGCGCGAACGGCGCGGATGTGCGGCGATGAGCCGAACAGACGAGGCGGACGACGCCGCGAAGAGACAGGATGGATCCCAAGGTAAAGAAAAATTGGATCGTGGGTGAATTAGAGTAGCCTAATCCTAACCCTAATCCATGTCTCTGATACCATGATACTAACCTGGGGATTTTCAGAAGATAATCTCCACAGGTGAAGGAGTAACTATATATAGATAGCCTCATGACTATATATAGGCATATAGGCCTATTAGATAGGATCTTCACACTTAACATTTACAACAAAATTATTAGACTTCTTAAAAATTAATAATAGATCAAGGCATCATACCAAATTAGAAGCTTTCTCAAAACAATAGATCAATATTTGGCAATTAGAAATCTTCAATTCTTGCATCCCTAATAAGTAGGTAAGTTCAAACTGAAACAATAACCAGACCTCTCCCACAGCACCTTTCGCCACACCACAGCACACATGTCACCAATTCAACCGCAACCTATCCTAAGAAATAATGTACAGAGGCAGCAAAAAAGTTATGTGTGGCTTGACCTCCTTAAGTCAACAAGCAAGTGGAAACACACAAGTCTGTTCCTTCTTAAATGGATACCTAATTTTATTTTTCAGAAAAGGGTAAAAGAATTTATTTTCCATCAACGTAATCATAGAACTACATGTCAAGGTGGCCAGTTCAAACAAAATAACAATTCCCATTAGCACAAGTTTTTGACATATAACACTTAAAATAGAACACCTGCGTACCTCGGTCATCACGCACATGCAACCACTATAAGTACTCTTTTCTTTTTTCAATGAACCACTACAAGTAATCAGAAGTGAAAAATAGCAGATTGTGTGGCATAATAAGCAGGTTCTGATTGCTTAATCTGGAGGAAAGTATAAAAGGAAAAAAGTAGCATAACAGAAAACAGGCAGGTTTGAAACATATAATATCACACCCCCCTTCATACATAAGAAGCATCTCTTTCAGTGTGTGTTTGATTCGTCGCCTGGCTGATGGTTAACTACAGTTGTAGTGTTTTCTACGATGAGGTCAAAGGTCAAGGTGAGCCAGCATCAACTAAGACAGTATGGGGCTGTTTGGTTCTGACCCTGGCGCAGGTGCCCGGGCCAGGCAGCTCCCCAGGCCGTTGATTTTGAGCGCCTGGTGGTCAGATGGACTTGCCTGGGCGAGCACCCCCAGGCCACGCTACGAACCAAACAGCCCCTATATGTACTTGCCTAATTCAATTAACATAAAATGGAATATTCTAAAGATTCCTAATCCACCACCCTCCCAAAAATAATTTCTCGAAAACGCAGGATAGCTGCGCATCATTATATTAAGAAGATGAAAAAGGGACAAGTGCCCATACAACACAAAAACTAAAACACACACACACACTCTCTGCTGCTGCCCTCAGGAATACTCGTGCCTGCAAAAGAAACTACAGACGACCAATCGACCATAAGACAGGGCGCTAACCACCCAGAGCAATGGCAGCTAGGAGGGATAAACCTCGAGCCCCTGCCAACGACCATACCTTTCCCTCATCTTCAGCTACAGCCAGTGCTGCCTGCAATATTTGGGGCTGCGCCATCAAAAACGCACTTGTTGCGGTGTGTCCATAAAGTCCAGGCTCCAAGGATAATGAGGGAGTTGATTCAGTATCTCTACATGGCACTTTAATTTGGTTCTATCACACATGTCAAAAAAAACTAACATCATCTTTATTTTCGCCTACATGGCACATTAATTTGGTTCTATTTGCATTTATGTTTTGCCACATGGTTCACAAGCAAGCCGAATGGCTTTCGAATCAACAAAAGTACAAAAAAATAAAATGGATGTCTAATACTGAAAGACAAAAGACCCTTTACAGCGTCCTGGAGTGAGGAAAACCACCCTTACGCCAATGCACAAACCTACGAGTTCTTCAATCAACACGCAATCCAGGAGCTACACACATAGGTGCATACACTCCAACAACATTCGCTAACAAGCTTTTCCAGTGGACATTCCGGCAAAAGTAATGTAATTAAGCACAGCAAGAGCTAGAATTCCTTCTCGACCGCCCTAAACTGGCAATGGAGCTACCAAACTCATTGGGTAATTAGCCTACGAATCCAGGTAGCAGATCAAACAACGAACGAATAAGTCAGCGCTGAGAGGCGGAACAAGAACCCGGGGCGGCGGTTAACAGCAGCTCGAGAGTAGCTTACATGCGAGGACCTTCTTGTGAATCTTGTTGATCTCGACAACGATGTCGTCCTGGTCCTTCTTCAGCAGGTCCAGATCCTTGGCCTTCTCCAGCAGGCTGGCGATGTCCGCTCCTCCGCCGCCCGCGCTGCCGCCCCCAACCGACGACGACATATCCGGCTGCCCCTCCGCCAATTCCGCGAACGATCCAACTCGGGAGGGGCAGAGAGAGGGGTATGGCGGGCGGAGGTAGGGATCCCGTGGGTGGGCAGCTCGGGGGCCTGGTGGACTGGTGCAGGCGTAAAGGTGCGAACTGCGGCAGGCCGGAAAGAGGGAGATTAGGCTATCCATCCACTGATCTTGAAGCCTAGCTCAGCTGTGATGGTAATTTGGTAAATTAGAGCATCTTCAATACTAATCAATGAGTTTTTCAGGTGGCTAAAAATTGTTGGGAGCTTATTTGTGGGTTCCTGCAACTGTTTTCAAAATCTCGTTCTAAAATATAGAAGATAATTTTGCATTAGGACTCCCGAACTATTTATAAACCACATCATCTATATTTTCTTTATGTCTTGTTCATTTGCATTAGCAGCTCTATCCTGCTCTTTATTCTTTCAACGTTCTTCCACCTCTAGATTGACAGATCGATAGGCACGCGGATATTTCGTAAATTATTTTTTCCAAGTGCGGAAAGATTGAAAGTTAAAATAGAAAGTTATTGAAAGTAGTTTTTTCAATCTTATTAAAAATCTAGATTGAGTGGGTTTTGGAAACTCTTATGCTCTTACCATCATAGCGATATTTATATTTATTAATTACATGCAGCTATGTTTTCTAGGCATATAGGACCTAGATATACGATATATCGAGATATAAAGTGATGTATATAGAAAAATCAAAATGATCTATAAATTGAAACAGAGATTAGCTCTTAATTTACCTCAATACTATTGAAATATAGCAATATATCAATTAATATTTGTTAATCTTACACTAACAATAATATTATCTCGGTAATTCCTAGCATCTTACGTGTATGTCTTTGAAAAAACACCCGAAATCTACTTACCCTCGGCCTCGCAGGAACCACATCTTTGAGGATCATAGCCGGCCGCCTTCCTGAGGCAAACACCAATTTTATGCAAAGCAAACACATGTGTCATCACAAAGAGCTGCAGACAATCCAGTATTTTAAAAAGCGGGCTAAGGTGTTTAGTGATATATCTCTAAAATTGCTAATTACAGAGCTATATCGGGCTATAGCAAGATATAGTGGCTAAATTATACATAAACATAAATAGCGGCACCCTGCCTCAAAGAACTATAGCAGGAGATTTAAAACAATGAGACAATGTCAATCACATGGTCCTTCGTGGTACGGGGCCTTGACTTTGTCAAGGGGCTACAGCCACCTCTTTATGGCCATCGACAATCAAGTGGACCGCGGCTAAGCCCGTTAATGCAATAACAACAACCAAAGCTGTTGAATTCATTAACGAGACCGTAAATCTGGATGGTGTCATGAATACCATCATTACAGATAATGGCACTTAGTTTATAGGACGGAGGTTCCCTAAGTTCTGGGGTGGTGTTTACATCAGGGTGGCACACAGATAAAACCACAAGGCACGACAGTCACGGTAGCTTTCATTCGAGAGAATTCTAGGGTATTGATTTCCATGAGAAACATGAGTGAGCTGAACTAAGTTCGTCCTATGACACAAGGGGTGTAGGGACCGTGTCGCCTAAGAGGGTGGGCAAATTAGAAAACTTAAAACTATATTTCTAAACTATGACCTCTAATTTCTAACTTTAGCAAAACATATGCAATTAAGTAAATTATCTAAATGTGCAACTGCGGTTTTGCTAGATGTGTTGCTATCTCTACCGCAAAAGAGTTATGTAACCTAGGTTGCAATCCTATCAACTAAGCTAGAGAAGGTAAAGCACATAACCAAGGTAGCAATGTAAGTGCGGAAGCTTGATTAAGGTAGAGATGCAAACTCTCATCGACGACTCCGGTATTTTTACCGAGGTATCGAGAAGCACGCAAGCTTTCCTCTACTCCTCGTTGGAGCTCCTCGCAAGGAAACCCTCGTAAGGGCCAAGCTCTCAGTTGGGTAACTCTGTGAATAGCCTCGGGCCTTCCTCACGCGCAAGTGGGTGTCTGATACGCCTTCCGACAAGCCTCTCCCAAATGTTCCTCGTCGTCTCCAATATTAAGCTTCCGGCCAAAACGTTACGGGCCTTATTCCCTCCCGTACACGGTGACGCCCACACCACAAACGTAGTTGGTGTGGTTTTGCAATACTATAAGCCCCCCCCCGAGTACAAACATGGTGCGCGCAAGCACCTAAAATAACGACGAATGCAAAACTCACTAAACACTAAGCCTCACACCTAGAGCAAGCGCATAAGCCTGGTTTAACTGGTCTAAGCACTTTGCAAAGCACCTACACTAAGAGAGGAGGGGTGAATTAGGCAACTAAAAACTCTATCTCTAAACTATGGACTATAATTTCCAACCTTAGCAAAACCTTTGCAATTTTGTAAAGTATCTAAATGTGCAAGCCCAACAACACCTCGGTGTTAAGCGTGCATTACCATTTCATCTCATGAGCATAATCATCATCACCTCATGCATAAGCATCATGCATGCATTTCATTTCGAAAAAGAAATGAAGTATCATTCATGTGGTGCTTAAGTTGATTGAAATTCATTATGTTTAAAACAATGTGAAATGCCATGCTCATGTTTGGATGCCATGAAGTCTTGTTTTGATCACTAGGATAGCTTATAAATATTTAGGATACAATTTGGAGCAAAGTTTATATTTGAATTTTTGCCAAATTTTGCTTTTAAAAATAATTATTCAAGATTAGGGTTTTGAATTAATATTGAGTTTAATTTGGTAATTCAAAATCTATTTGGAATTTGACTTTGGTCATAAAAGCAAAGTTGTAGATCTTGAAAAATGGAACAACTTTCATTTTACACCAACTTTTGAAACTACTTTGAAATAGTTCAAAATTTCGTTTGAATGAAAAAGGATTTGAAAATAGTTTGAAAATCTCATTTTTCCTTTAATGGGTCATTGCTTTCCCCATTGACCCATTGCCCGCCCGCCCCTCTGCCTCATGCTGCCCTGCTCACCATGTGTTCCGTCCCGTCCACAAGACGCCACCTTGTCCAGCGTCAGCGCCAAGACGCTGCCACCATGGTCAGCCATCATGCGCCGGCCGAAAGCATCTTGGCGGCACACGCCATTGCTTTCCCGCCCTCTGTCAGCCTACACTTGCCCGACCGTCTGCGCTCCTCCTCCTCCTCTTCCGCTCTCTCTCCTCCGCCAGCCTTGGCCAAGAAGACCAGAAGGCCGCCTCCGCCACCGCCCGCAAGACTTAGCAAACGATGGAGTTGGGCATTCCGGCTGCTCCAGTTCGCCTAAGCCATCTCCATCTTGCCCTGAGCCTCGCCTCCTCCTCGCGCACCTCGTGCTCGCCTCGGTAAGCCATGATAAGCTCTCCTTCCCCGGGAATCTCTCACCGGAGTCGTGGCCGAGCTCGCCGGAGTGCTCCACTCCGTGGACCTTGCCCCTCCGTCCTCCTTCTCGCTCTCCCTTCACGCGCACGAGCACCGCACGAGCTCGGTAAAGCTCCCGCGCCACCTCTCACGCCCCTACCCAGCCGGAGATGGCCGGCCATCGGTGAGCCGCACCACCGCGCCGCCATGGCCGCTGGCCAGCTTGCTCTCGAGCTCCTCTGACCCTGCCGCTTGCACTGACGTGTCCGCTTTGGCAAGGTGGTCACGTTGGTGGTGACCTCGTCGCCGGCCACCTCACCGACGACGAGCTCACGCCGGCCAACATGACCTCCTCTGCCTCGAGGGGTGGGGGTGGGGCAGGTGACCACTGAGGAATGGGGCCACATCATTGTAGGGATGCACGCCTAGGTAGAAAGCCGGGTGGATCTAGCAGTTTTGAACATAGATTTTCAGAAAGGATTTAAGAAATGATTTTTAGATTTTTGTTTAAATGCTTTGGGAATTTATAACTTGCTCAAAATGGCTCCAAATTTGTTAAAACAAATTTTGTTGTGTTCCTTGTCACCAGATCTACATGATAAAAAAATTGCATGTCATTTTTTGAGATACTTTAATGTAGAGCTTTATTTAATTCTTGATATTGTTGATATCTTGTAAAATATTTGGTAAATCCTATATGTATCAGAAAAATATGATTCTAAGTTTGTTACTCTTCTTGTGTAATGTACTTCCTAGAAAAAATATATGCCATGCATGTCCTATAGAAAAATTATGAGATGTAGTTCAAGTGCCTTTAATGGCTGATTTTTGTTATTTTTGCTAGAGAGCAAAATTTGTATAAAACATGCATGTGATAATTTTTGTGCAGTGATTATTTACTGTGTAGAACATAGGAAAAATTATACATCTGTTGTTTGACACTTTTCACAGTACAAAGTATTTTCGTGATCATAATTATGCCATAGCTTGTCATTTTTGTGTAGGCTAATCCACTTATCCAAATGCCATAAAAATTTAAGGGTAGACAATTTAGGGTAGTATTGTGCTATGGTAATTTTCTAAGATTTTTCTATGCTATAAAAATAGATGTTGCTATTCAAACCTATTATTAATTAGGGTTTAATCAAATGTTGCTTTATGCATGATTAAGAAATTAGTGAAGCTTTGGTGTATCTTTGAAGCATTTAATGAGATGTGTTGACTTAGCATATTAGTAATAAAAGAGAATGCAGTAGATGACATGTGCTTGTAGTACATGTTCTAGGATGATGTTGACTACCTTGCATGCAAGCACATTCATTGTGTTCATTTCATCTGATGCACCTTTTGCATAAGCACTTACGCTTTTGCATCATACGGGATCGTGGCAGAGCCCGGTCGTCATACCCGAGGAGCACGAGGAGCAGCTCTCGAGTGCAAATGCAAGAAGTGACCAAAGCGGCAGCGAGGAGGACGTTGAGGAACTTCCAGTGTGCCCGATCACCGCCTAGAGCTCCTTCGAGAGAGGCAAGCCCGAGCATTTTCCTCCCCGGTTTGCGATTATTAATTAATACTTTACTTTAATTGATGCATTACATTCATGAGTTGTTTGCAACCGTTGTTGCATTATACCTTGTCTATCTTTGTTATACTA